AGCCGAGTACCAGGTGCCGCTGTCCCGGCGGCCACACTACGACACACCCCGCAGTCTGCGTCCGGCCTCCCGGGGTGGCCCCGACCAGGGCATGGAGGCAGAGCTGGGCAGCCAGAAGTCTGAAGGCTGCCCTTCCGCCTCGCTGGAAACAGAGGGCATGAAACAGAGGGGCCAGGTGATGGAGGCCTCTGGCAGCGAGGCCGCACAGGCCAGCCCGGCCCCCAGCGAGCCCTGGGAAGCCAGCAGTCCGCGCACTGGGCCACCCCCCGCCTTCTTTTCGGCCTGTCCACTGTGTGGCGGACTCAAGGTAAAGTCCCCTCCCTGAGATGGCCACTCGGGCCTGGAGTTTGCCCCTCTGGATGGGAGCCGAGGGCCTGCCAGCCTCTGCAGAGGGGGTGCTCTACGCTGTTTCTGGGACCCCCAGCTGGTGGAGAGGGTCTGGGGTGACGGTGCAGGCCCTCAGTCAATGGGGTGCCTCAGGCAGTGTGTTCTGGACAGTGGGGCACTGGTTGGCAGGCTGGGGTCCGTGGAGTCCCTAGGCCCAGCTCTCCAACACTGTCTTCTACAGATGCTGGGGGCTCAAGTCGGTGCTGCACCCATTGGCACAGCACCCATGGGTGGTCCAGACACTAGCATGGGCTTATCTGGCCCTCTGCCCACTCTAAATGCCCAGGGCTGTCCTGACTGCAGACCTGCCAGGGCACCGTGTGCACCATCGGCTCTGCATGTCCCATGCCGCACCTGTGCAGGGCGGGCCTCCCATCCATGGGGAGAAAACTGATGCTCAGGAGGCCCCGTGACTTGTGGTGTCCATGTCCCTGTGCCTGGGCCCCACTGCGTCCACGCCCGTTTTTTCCTGAGGGAGAGTCTGCCCAGCCCAGGCTGTGATCTTGGCCAGCCTGGGGTCCCCACTGCCTCCTCCAGTGCCTGTCACTGAAAATGGGAAGCTGGGCAGGGCCAGAGGGGAGGCTGGGGCTCCCCGGGCTCCCCAGGACCTGGGGCCTCCAGCCTACTCCGGGTCTGTGTGCCCCATGTGGTGCAGTGTGGAGCTGTTCCTCTGGCATAGTCAGAGGCCACTGTGCCCAGCCCTCCTGAGTCCCCTGTATACCCCTGGCCTCGCACCTGCACTGTCCGCTGACTGTGTTGTTGCTCTGCTCTATTTTTAAAATCTGACACTGTTTGTAATACATTCTCAGACTGGAAATAAAGTTTTCTTTTCATACCGCCGTGTCCTTTCCATGTGGCCAGCCCTCTCCCCTCCCTAACCTGGCCCTGCTACAGGCTGTGACCAGGATTGAACTCTGAGGCTGCAGTCTAGACCCGGGGGGTAATTGTGTGTGTGTGTGTGTGTGTATGTGCGCGTGTGCATGTGCCAGGCCAGTGCATCGGTGTTGGCTCTGAGCCTGTTCCCTCTGAGCCCAGGCAGCCAGGATGCTGGGAGCCCAGGGCTCCTGCAGCTGCTGTGTGGGAAGGACAGGCTTTGGGGCCGAGCCCGCTGGCTTTGTGGCCCACAAGTCACTACCCTCTCTGAGCCTCAGTTTCCTCTTCCATGGATGGGGTGACCATCCCCACACGGGGCTGCCCAAAGGGCCTGGTGTGTGCTGGTAGGAGGGGCCCCGGGCTGCAGGGCAGCTTCCTGCACAAGAAATGGGGAGCTGACCAGAGCCCCTCCCCACCCAAACTCCCCCGATTGTGCTTCCTGGGTCCCTGCCTGCAGCCAGCAGGAAAGAGCACTGAGGCGGGAAGTGAGCCCGGTTGTGGGGTCTCTGTGTTTGCGCTGGGTCTGGGTGCAGGGCTTGTGGGGGCCGGGCTGGGGCATGAAGGTCTCCCTCAAGGTAAGGTGGGCATGGCCCATGGGGCCTTTGGGGGCTTCCGGGGCCGTGGTATCTGACATAATGGAATCCCTCAGTGTCCCCAACCCATGGGGGCCTGGGTGTGGGCTGGGGTCCCCTCTGGGGTCAGACAGGGATGACTCCTCACCCACTCTCCCCAGTATGTGGTGGGAGGGCTTGAGGCTGTTGGCCAAGCAGCTCAGAGCCAGCCCCAGGGGCCCTTCTGGGGGACAGTGACCAGCGGGTTGGGCACCCGCATGGGGCACACAGTGGCCTCCCGTCCTGGCCCAGGTGTGGGGAGTGGGGGCTGCATGTGCTGCATCTGCCAGAAGTGCTGTGGGGCTCCTGACACCCACTCACCTGGGTCCTGGCCACATGGGATCCAGGTGAGTGAGTCACCTCTGCTGCTCCCTCCAGCCCTGCCTGCACACTGCTGTGAGCCCCTTCCAGAGCCAGGCACTGCCCATGTGGGGCCAGAAGAGGTCACCATCTGGGTCACCGTCCTCCCATCTGGGTCCCGCGCTCCTTAGCTAGGGCTGGGGCAGAGGCTGGGACCACACTTCGGGCCTGGGCCTGTGCTGAGCAGGCCTGCGTCCCAACAAAGCCGTCAGCAGAAGTGGGGTGGGGAGCGGGGCCTTCAGCTCCCTGTGGGACACAGACGTGGGGGCAGGGTGCCAGCCCTCGGGCTGCCTTGCCCTGTGAGGTGCAGGGCAGTGCTCAGGCAAGGGAGGCTGTACTGACCCGCGTTCTCTTTGGTCTAGGTAGTGGCGGCCTCCCCCCCGGGACGCACCATGGCACATCCAGGTAGGCCCTGGCAGGAGCCGGTCTGTGGTCTGGGCTGAGCTGAAAGTCAGGACGGACGGTGAGCCTGAGGCACCTGGTTTTACTCTTGCTCCTGTTGGCACCATGTGGGCCCCACTCCAGGGACGATGGGCCCGGGAGAGGGTGGGAGGGGGCAAGGCGGCCCAAGCAGGGGTCCCAGAGGTCCTCCGGCCCCAGTGGGCAGTTGGTGCGAGGACAGCCAATCATCAGTGGCCTGGGTCAGGCAGGGGACCCGCACTGCCCCAGGTGACTCAGTAACTGGGGGTCTCTGCCTCAGCCCCTGCCTGGGAGCAAACAGGGAATGAGCTGGGGGCAGTAACAGGGAGGAGGGTGGCTTCCGGAAGTGGGAACTGGCCTGCCCAGGGGCTGTCTGGGTGACCCAGAGTACCTGGCAGGGACTGCAGAGCCAGGACCTGCCCCAGGGCCGGGGCCCAGAAGTCTACAGGCTCCATGGGTGCTGTGGGCAGGACCTTCTTTGTGTGAGTCCTGGGCTCGGGCGTGTTTCCAGGCCCTGGGGAGCCGGGTCTAAGGCCCGAGTGAAGCACAGGGTGTCAGGAGGGGACACACAGTACAGTCACCTCTGGGGCCTCACGCCCCTTTCCCCACAGGACTCCTGGGGTCGGGGGCCTCCCAGACGCCTGCCTACATGAACATCCCCATGAGCCCACCATCCCGGCAGCAGCTGCACTACATGGGCCTGGAGCTGCAGGAAGCTGGCAAGGGCATCCGAGGTGGGCTCTGCTCAGCCAGGCTCGTCCTGCTGGGGAGGGCGTCGGGGTGGCTCACAGGTGGGACGGGGAACGGGTGATGGTCCTGGCTGCTCTGCTCACCCTGGGCTGCTTGCAGGGACCCGTACCTCCCGTTACGCACAGATTGACATCGTGGCCATGGAGGCGGCACAGCGGGCTGGGGCCCAGCGAGCTCAGGAGCGGCTGTCGGAGCTGCAGATTGACATCGGCCATGGAGGCGGCACAGCGGGCTGGGGCCCAGCGAGCTCAGGAGCGGCTGTCGGAGCTGCCGCAGCACAGGAGGGGTGCCCCGCGGTGAGGCCCTGTGGCCGGCCAATCCCAGGGAGCCTGACCCTCAGAGCTCTGGGGTCAGGCCGGCCTGCTGCTGCGAGGGAACCCATCCCACTGGTGCCCAGCCAACTCTCCTGTCCCCGAGAGGTACCACCCTCAGGTGTCACCTGGGCTGCAGCTGCCAGATGAATCTGGAAAAAAGGCGGGGGCCTAGGGATGCTGTGTCCTAGAAAAACATGGGCCATCTCCAGATGGAGGCAGAGCATCCTGGTCCCCACCCCTGGGACGTGGGCTGGGACACACTGCCCCAGCCTGCCCTCCCCTGTCCTGTCCAGGCCACTCAGGCCACAGCGCCTTGGGCCTGGGGACCGAGGTGCGGGACACGGAAGGCCTGTGGCCCCTGTCAGCCCCTGCGTGACCCAGGAACGGGTTGGTGGTCATGCTGCTCAGGACCCGCAGCCAGCTCAGAAGTTTGAACTGTTACTGTTACTGTCCATTTGTAAGAACGCATATTATTTTCCTGAGGTGTGAGGTTCTTTCTTGTGTGGTTTCTGCCCCAGAATTGATCTGATATCTTGGTGCTGGGTCTGGGGCCTCGTGGGCCCTCCTTAACTCAGGGCTCTGGCATCTTTCCGACGGGTGGAGGCTCTGCCCACAGCCAGCCGCATCCCATTCTGCCCCCTCGTCCCTGGTCCCTAGAGCCCCCAGCATGTAGTGGGTCCCTGATTAGTTGCCTGTGGGGATCCAAAGCCTCTGAGCCTGGGTTTGGGCTGACCAGCACTCCCACCCTGCCCAGCTCCTGAGCCTCTGTGGCCCTGACTGAACTGGGTGATGGCAGGAGAAGAGGTGGCAAGTGGCAGATCACCCCCAAGATGGCCCAAAGGTCCCCAGATCCTCGCTCATGCTCTGAGGCCCGGGGACTGTCCACCTGCAGGGTGTGACGAGGGCCAGCAACTCAGGGCCAGGGTGCAGGCCGGTGTTCCCTCCAGGTCTGGTCAAGCCTGGCTGAAGTTGTCAGAGGGAACACCAGGGACACGGTAGGGTCATCCCATGGGACGAGCAGTGGGGGCATGGAAGTGGGGACTGGGGGCTGTTCTGCTGACAGCAAGTGACTGGCAGCCTGGCAGCCTTACTTAGGACAGAGCTGCTGTGGGGCAGGGGCTGCCGCCACACCACCCACCGGCCAGCTGCCCGAGTGACGCGAGGGCTCTGGGACTCTGGCCTCCCACCCTAGCCCTCACAGGACCACTACAAGCCCAGCCTGCTTGGGCAGCCCATCGTTCCGCCCATCCTGGTCATGGTGCCCACCTCCGTGCTGTTGTCCTTGTCTTCCTGGGGCTGGATCAGAGCCCTGTCTCCTCCAGCTGCTTGTCCCCGGAGGCCTGAGGGGTGGGTGACTGTGTCTAGGCCCCACGCTGGCTGAATTCTGTGAAGCTGACAGGGAGTGGGGCCAGGCAAGGGCCCATCCTGAAGGGAGCAAGGCCTGAGACCACTTCAACTGCTGGTCAGACAGCTCGCGTCACGTGAGCGGGACAGCCGGTGTGCCCGTCAGGTGCGCAGGCCCTACACAGAGCTCTGGGAAGGGACACGGGAGGGGCCCAGAGGCACAGGCTGGCTGCCTGAGGAGGCGGCAGGCAGGGAGAGACGGCTCTCTTTCCCTTCCAGCTTTCCCCGCAGGAAAGCGCACAGCCAGGCTACAGCATGGCACCCTCGGGCACCAGGAGCCAGCAGCTAGAGGGGAGGCAGTGCCTCTGTGGGCAGACAGTGGCCAGCCCAGGGCCGGTCATTTTCGCTCAGTTCCTCACACTATTGTCTCCAGTGGTGTTTTTGTTTTTGGTGGCACCAGGGACTGAATCCAGGGCCTGGGCACAGAGAACATTCCCAGCCCTTTTTTATTTTTTGAAATTATTTTATTGTTTGGTACCAGGGGTCGAACTAGGGATCTTGTGCTTGCAAGGCAGGCGAGGTGCCACTGAGCTATATCCCCATCCCATCCCTTTTTTATTTTGAGATAGGGTCTTGCTAAGTTGCCCCAGCTGGGCTTGAACTTGCAATCTTCCTGCCTCAGCCTCCCAGAGTGTGGGAGTTACAGATGCACGCCACTGTGCCTGGCTTGGGTAGATTATGTTCAGTTTATGTGAGTGCTACTGTGAGCTGAAATCCTGCAGCCGCCTCCTGACACGGCCTAGTACATCTCGGGCTCTGCAAGCACCTGGACTCCAGGCGTCCCTGGCAGGTGTAGATGCCCAGATGGTTGGTGCTGGGAATCAGCTGTGCACCCTCAGAAATGCCACAGGTGGGGACGGCAAAAGAGGGTGGGGTGCGCATCTCTGACTTTCCTAGGGTTTTGCCAGTTCTATACTCCTGATTGGTTGTGGAAGTGTACGGTACTGGAGCGTGGCTGATCCCACAGGTCAGGAGGGTGTCACTGCCACAGGGTGGGTGTAAAACAACAGCTGAGGCCTTCTGTCTCCCTCTGGCTGTGGGGCTCAGGTGTATGGAAATGCAGGCTCATTGGCCCTCGGGCTCCTCCCCTTGTAATCCACTGCTCTGCTGTCTTCCCTTGGGTTGTTGATGAGATACTAACATTAGATTATATATTGTCAGGTATTTTATTTTTATCAGTGATATATTTCTCAAGATTTAGAGTCAGCTGGGCATGCTTGTGCACGCCTATAATCCCAGGACTCAGGAGGCTGAGGCAGGAGGATCACTGCGAGTTTGAGGCCAGCCTGGGCTATATAGTGAGTTCAAGGCCAGCTTGGACTACATAGTGAGACCCCGTCTCC